GTTATATAGTGTGTTTATCCTTCGCTTGTCATGATTGTTTCTTTTTTTACCTTTTGTACATTATAAGTTAAAGTTTGTTTCTGTTAAATTTTCTAAAATAAAAATATGAAGAGAGAGAGAGAGAGAGAGAAGCTCACGAACGTTAATTTCTGCGTGAAACGTTCGGTCAACAATTAACTTTTATACATGGTTCAATATTATATATAAGGGGTTTTGAACGGTTTTTCAATAATATTATTTGCTTTAGAAGCATATTTGTTATTCTCTATTAAAATTTAACTATGTAATTAACATTTTGTTCTTTTTATGTTAAAATTGGATTGTAATTTTTCGGACATTGACTGCGTAATAAATAATGAGTATATATTGATTCCTACTTATCAAATTTTATTTCCAAAATTTTATCTAACTACTGCGTTTGTTAATGTCGAAAAGGGGGACCTCGCCAAGAAGAAAATCTATCCGACTCTCTGGTGGCTCTTCCGAGACAATCTCCTACCGAAACCTACCGCCTTCGTCGGTTATGCTAGAAGCAGATTAACAGTAGAACAATTGCGTGAGAAGTGTCATCCATACATGAACGTGAATCCGGACGAGGAGGAAAAGTACGAAGAATTTTGGAAGCTGAATCACTACGTCGCTGGTTCCTACGATCAGAAGAAAGACTTTGAGCTACTAAATCGTGAATTACAAAAGTTTGAGCAAGGAAACACTGCGCACAGGCTGTTTTATCTGGCACTACCACCGAGCGTGTTCGAAAGCGTGACGATACGACTCCGGCTTACCTGTATGGCAAAGAAGTAAGCACGAATTTTGAACATATATGGAATATAATCAACTAAAGCATTAAGAATTGAAAAGAGAAAATACATCAAACAAAGTCACCAATTTGTTTTACGGATAAATATAACAGAATGTATATATCCAATATATAAATATATCTATATTGAAATTTCAGAGGATGGACGAGAATTATAATCGAGAAGCCATTCGGCCACGATGCTGCCTCGTCGCAGAAACTTTCCGATCACTTGGCGACGCTGTTCAGCGAGGAGCAAATCTACCGTATTGATCACTATCTCGGCAAGGAGATGGTGCAGAATCTGATGACCTTGAGATTCGGAAACAGGATATTCAATCCGACATGGAATCGGGACAATGTAGCTTCAGTGCAGATCACATTCAAAGAACCATTCGGCACTCACGGTAGAGGCGGCTATTTCGACGAGTTCGGCATCATCAGAGACGTCATGCAGAATCACCTGCTGCAGATCTTGTCCTTGGTAGCTATGGAGAAACCTGCGTCTTGTCAACCGGATGACATCAGAAACGAGAAGGTAAAAGTTCTCAGATGTATCAAAGACGTGCAGCTCGATCAGGTGGTCCTCGGTCAATACGTCGGAAACCCGGACGCTGAGGAACCGGAAGCACGTTTAGGCTACTTGGACGATACCACAGTACCAGCCGGATCCAATACGCCGACATTCGCGTTTGCAGTGCTAAAAATAAACAATGAAAGGTGGGACGGAGTACCGTTCATCCTGAGATGCGGAAAAGGTAAGAAGATCGAAGGAGGTCCGTTTCTCGGCAAATAAAAAACTTTTTGTTTAACCACCGCGCGATGTCTCGTAGCTCTAAACGAAAGGAAAGCAGAAGTTAGAGTACAGTACCAAGATGTACCGGGTGATATCTTTGATGGGAAAGCAAAAAGGAACGAATTGGTGATCAGGGTGCAACCAGGCGAAGCATTGTACATTAAAATGATGACAAAGTCACCCGGCATCACGTTTGACATGGAAGAAACGGAATTGGACTTTACTTATGGCAGTAGATATAAGGTAAGTAATTTCGTTGATCAAAGAATTTGTCGTTGAAGTTAAAATCGGATATGTAGTAAGGCATCATCCTGCTCATTACGAATATCATTTCTTCCAGGGTCTTAAATTACCGGATGCCTACGAGAGATTAATTTTAGATGTCTTTTGCGGTTCGCAAATGCATTTCGTGCGAAACGACGAGTTGCACGAAGCATGGCGGATATTCACGCCGTTGCTTCATCAAATTGAAAAAGAAAAAATCCAACCGATTCCATATAAGTACGTAGCGCGGATTGTAAGTATTTTTAATGTGTGCAAAATATATTACTGTTTATTTAAAAATTTCAGATATGGATCCCGAGGGCCGAAAGAAGCTGACGACATGGCGAAGAATAATAATTTCGCGTACTATGGTTCGTACAAATGGGTGAAACCATGAAATCAATGTTGATTGTGATATGAGATTCATCACGCAAAGTACAAATTTTAAAATATCTAAGAATATTTAAAGCGACGCAACTGTTGACTGTCACATTCCAAAATTTTTGCTAAATCGTCGTATATAAATATTTTTTTACAATTTTATATGTAATATTTATATATATTTTACTATTTGTATCTTATTGATAATATTTACATATCCGATTTTATCATATATGTGAAAACATAAAGTTTGTTCTCTGTCGCTGAACTTTCTGCATTAAATGTCGAAAGTATGCACTGAAGCGTTCTTTTGAGTGAAATAGACGATATCAGATATAGCTATTTTTCTGTCATAATGTAGCAGTATTTGCAGTGCAACAGTTTATTGTAATCTCTATATTAGGCCTGAAAATGTAACAATTGCAAATTTGCAATACTGATATAATAAGCGGAAGATTAAAAAATCTACTTGATTTAAAACTAAAGCAGTAATATTCCGAATTTATGAAAATGCAAGAAAGTAATTAAAGTATACATACGCGCATACACACAAATATATATACATTGTTATATATACGTTGTGTTACTTTATATATTTCCGTTTTCATTAATTTAAATTCTCCTAAGATTTTTATATTTTATTACTTAAAACAAGTTTAACATATTACATTATGTACTATCATTATTTTCAGTCCAGATTGGTTTTAACAATTATAATAAAATTAAAAATTTTTTTTCTGAAAAATCAATTCTAAATTACAAACTGATTTAATCAGTTGTATTATGCCGTTTTATCTGTTATGTTGATCTTCGCATTCTTTATATCTCGAAATCGTCAGTACAAGAGAGCTGCACTAGTGCAGCCACAAAGAACAAACCTATAACATCCTATTGAGGCTACCTTAAGATCAAGATTGCGGGGGAATGTGAATCAGTCTTTCTTTTAGATTAGTTTTATTAAATCTTGACAATCGAAACATGTGTGATACCAATCGCGGCATCCTGTACAACTGTCTTTGATAGCATAAATTGTACAAATCATTGTACGCTAGAGATCTGTGTGAGATTATTCGATTGGGTAACTTACGTTAAATAAATAAAAGAAAGTTGACTTGCCGTATGTGTATATACCTACATTGTGGAAAAAACCTTATTCTAAGTGTACCAGGTAAGCGGTAGCCGATCATCTTACATCTTATACAGCACTAAATTTCGCAGCTCAACATAATCCTGCTATTCCACTTCCTCTTAAGATCAGCTATACATATATAGATACAAATTGATGTCATGATTAACGATGAACTGAAGATATATGTATAATTTATGTATACGTAATAATTATATGTATATATATTTGTATTATCAAATAGTGCAGGCTAGGAGGAAGTAAGATGGTCTCTGCACACATACATCAAGGTTCTCTTGAAGATTGTATATGTTCACTGTGATAGAAAAGGAGAGGACATGTAAAAAACATATAAATGTAGGAAATTGAATTATGGCGTATTATTATATGCCTGTAAATTATGATATATAACTCGATCTATGGAAAAATCAGATGGTACTTTTAACAGCAAAAAAAA